CCAGAGCTTGGTACTTCGCCATCCTTTCATCCTTTGCTTCATAAATTCCGGAAACTTGGTTAACCACAAGCTGGGAATCACTGTACACCAGGAGCTCGGCAGCCTTCATTTGAATTGCGCTCCTGAGCCCGGCGAGAAGTGCCTCGTACTCAGCCTTGTTGTTAGACGCCGGGAAGCCAAGCGTTATAGAATGTTCAATGGTTAGGCCATCCGGGGATATAAGAACAATACCTAGGCCGGCACCATGGCGGTTGGACGCTCCATCAACAAAAAGCTTCCACATGTCCCCCACAAAAAGCTTCCAGCAGTCAGATGGGTCCTGAGAGTTGCGAAGAGCAATGATGGCAGTTGGACGCTCCATCAACAAAAAGCTTCCACATGTCCCCCACAAAAAGCTTCCAACAGTCGGATGGGACCTGAGAGTTACGAAGGGCAATGGGATCACAACTGCTCGGCTGTGCGGTGTCAAGTTCGGTGTTGACCAGTTCAAATTCAGTGCCCCTTGGTGATGCGACACCGGACTCGGCAAGTTGTTTCGGTAATGCTCAAGTCCGTGGGCGAATCATCAGGTTGCGGTGTGAAGCCGGCCGCAGGTTCTGAGCTGTGTGGATCGATCCCTTCCCCCCTTGATGATTCGGCACCGGACTCAACAAGTTGATCCATAATGCTCAAGTCCGTAGGCGAATCATCAGGTTCTGAGCGGTGTGGTTCAATTTCTTCCCCCCTTGGTGATGCGGGACCGGACAGAGTGGATGGGTTGGTGATACACAACTCCGTCATCGCAGCACCGGGTGATATGACCGCGCAAACTGAGGGAACTTCGATGGTGCGCGCTAACTCCGCGGCGCTACCTCCTCCAACTGGTTGTACCTCGGTTGGCATTGCGTGCATCTCATCATCTGCCTCGGCAATGTCGACCGGGCATACCGGATGAGTGCCAGGTGAGAACTCGGCAACAAAATCGGCCAAGGTTTGGGCTTTGATTGCGGTGCGCGGCTGGAACTTCACATCAAACTGTCCCAACTCGACCGCCCATTTTAATATTCGGCT